GAAAGAGCAGGTCGGGCATCTCTTTACAATCTCCTTAGCTTGTTGTCATGTAATGGAAAACTCTTTCTTTAAACCTTTGCTATTGACGTGATTTTTTAAATGAAATTCTGAAGCCTGTAACATGCTTCCAATCAATAGTTGATCAATTTCTGCATTACCTTGTGCTAGAGGATGTGGCCGACCCATATGGGACTGGATGTGTTTTATGTACATAGAACAAAACCTATTTTTGATTATGTCTTGCACATGGATAAATAATAAACTCAATTCTGTATCATCTGGTATAAAATTAGTGGTTTCAATATACAAGCTAACTCTTTCTGCAGATTGTGAATCAGTAACTATATTAAGGGGTTCTTTAAAATCCCTTAGCACCATGAGAATAACATATAATTCTGCCTTCTGGACAGAATTATAAGGGCTTTGTTCTACCTTACTTAATTCTTCTGATTTGTAACCTGCCTTCCCTGATTTATTTGCATCAGTATAAAATGTGTGGACCCCAGTTATTGGAGCATCAATGTACAATTCGGGAAAGAATCCAAGAAGTTTTCTTTATAAGGTTAAGTCTATCACTTTTGGGATAATTGCTATTAATTTCTCCCAAAAAATTAGCACAAGCTCTTTGCCATGGTTCATTGTCTTCCCATAACTTTTTTATTTCATCAGTAGTGAAAGGCACTATAATTTTTGCTGAGTCTCTACTTGCTAATTGACGAAGTCTTAATTTACCTTTTATAATTAATTCAGAGAATTTTTTCACATAAGTTTTTAATTTTTTACTTGGTTTATATGATAAAAAGATCAATTCTAAAATAATATCATCCCTTTACATTAAAATTTCTGTAGGGGAAATTCTGGAAACAATATGACTAGAATACAATTAAGATTTGGATTCACCCTATCCACATGTGCCTCCTGCAATTTCTCAACTATTGTCAGTTCCTTTTCCGTTTCAGCTATTAATTCTCTTGGGACTATTCAAATCTTTATCACCATCTAAGGTTTTGTTTAAATGAATTATTAGACCAGGTGTTATCTCAACAGCCGGTCATAGACTGGAAATATCTTCCAATGATCTTTGAAATTCATTAAGAGTCCATAATCAGTCTCTCCTAATTTGTGTCTTTTGTGTCCTAATTTTCTGCAAACCTATTTTATAACCTAGGTACTTGACAGAATCTCCTCTCGTATTTTTTAGAAGCAATTTGTAGTCCCCATTTTGGCAAAACTTTCTTTACTTCTTTAGACATTCTTTCTAAAGTTTGAATCAGACAGCAAAATGTCATCCATGTAATGGTAAATTATAGACTTAAGAAATTGTTTACATACTATTTCCAATGGCTGACTTACAAAGTATTAGCACAAGGTGGGGATATTGAGCATCCCCTGTGGGAGGACAGTCCATTGATATCTCCTACTAGGCTGCTGCAGCCCTGTTTCAGAGATGACAGTGGTGTGGGGGAATTGTCTGTAATCTGTCAATTATATTTTAAATAAATGCTGATTGGCCAGGCAGGAAGTATAGGCGGGAAAACCAGACAGGAAGTAGAGGTGATGCAATGAGAACAGGAGAATTCTGGGAAGCAGGAAGCTCCCTCCACCACTCCTGCGCAGACCACCGAAGAGACAGGATGTAACCTGCCCAGCTGAGAAAGGTACTGAGCCATGTGGCTAACGTAGATAAGGATAATGGGGTAACATAAGTTATAAGAGCTAATAAGTAGCCTGACCTAATGAGCCAATCAGTTTATAACCTAATGTAGACTCTGTGTGATTTTCTTTGGGACTTGCCAGCTGTGGGGTACTGGGTGGGACAGATACCCCAACAAGCCGGCCTTCATGTTACATGACAATACATGCTTTAGTTAATCAGCTGTTTGGGAAACATCATTTTATTCATGAGGTGGGTCCTATTCATAAAGGATTACAGTGTGTCTTCCCATATGTCTTAGTTAGGGTTTCTGTTGCTGAGAAGAGACACCATGACCACAGCAATTCTTACAAGGAAAACATTTAATTGAGGTGGTGGCTTACAGTTTCAGAGGTGCAGTCACTACCATCATGGCAGGTACTCCAACAATGACAGCATGCAGGCAGATGTGGTGTGGGAGAGGAGCTGAGAGTTCTACATCGTGCAGGCAACAGGAAGTGGCCTGAGACACTGGGTGTGGCTTGAGCGTATGTGCGGAAGTAGAGCGATGGTGGGTGTAGGAGTGAGGAAGTATACAAGGGCAATCATATCTCCTTTTGTGGGGTACGTTGTGGTGGTTTGAAATAAAATGACCCCCCAGAGGGTGTGGCACATTAGGAGGTGTGACTGTTGGAGTGTATGCGTGGCCTTGTTGGAGGAAGTATGTCACTGTGGGGGCAGACTCTGAGGTTCCCTGTGCTGAAGATACTGGTCCAAGTCAAAGTCCACTTTTCTGTTACCTTCTCATCAAGATGTAGTCAGTACCATGTCTGCCTGCATGCCACCATGCCCCCTGCCATGATGCTAATGGACTGAACCATTAATCTTAAATGTTTTCCTTTAGAAGAGTTGCCATGGTCATGCTGTCTCTTCACAGCAAAAGAAACCCATCCCAAGACACCTGGGAAGCTGATTTGTGGCCTATGGAGACCACTTTCCCCAAATATGTCCCCATATTTGGAACTGTGGTAGCACTGTGGTGTTTACAGTATGAGGAACTATAGTTATGGATTAGGACATTAGCATAGAACCTAAGTGGATGACCAACTCATGGCTACCAAGGCAGTAACTGAATTGGAACTTGTACCCACATTTGTGATTCTAGCTCAGCAGACTTTCAAGACTTTATCTGTTTCATTATTCTGGGAGGAGACACAAGTCACCATATTCTGAGTCAACTATGGTAACAATACATGAACATCTTTCAGAAATGGACCCACATGTGTGTGTATGTGTATAAACAAACACGTAAGTTCTCAGAAGTTACCAGAAACTGTATAAATTCATAATTATTGTCTACAATCCCAAAGCTTAGCTAGGATTTAGAACACAGTCTATACCATGAGAGAGTGATTAGGATGGCCCTGTCTTCAAGCCTCCCCTGTGACTGTGCTGGTTCTGTCAGCCAGGCTTCCAGATCTCATGCAGTTACAACACTAAGAGGCTACGCTTGAAAAATCCATCCTTTTTGCTTTCTTTTCCCCCGCCCATTCCTCTTCACTTTCTAAACTCTGCAGGTGTAGCACCTGCCTTTATTTTCCTCCCTTTATAAGAAATAGATTGCAGATGTGCAAGACAGCTCAGTGTATGAAAACACTTCTGTGGAAAATTGATGACCTACATTCTTTCTCTGGAACCCCCCCCGACCCCCCCCCCCCCGTGGAAAAAGAGAACGAATTCCCCAGAGTTCTCATCTGACTTCTGCATACACACTGGGCTCGCTAGATTTTGTCAACTTGAGAAAAACTAGAGCTACCTTGGAAGAGGAAATCTTAATTGAGGATTTGCATCAGTTCCTGCCCTCCACAAAAGGCCTATTACGTGTAAGAAAAAATAAACCCTTTCCTTTCAAGTTGCTTCTGGTCAGTGCTTTATCACAGTAACAGAAGCAGAGCAGAATATGCACCGTGGCTCATGAGTGCTCATAATCATGCATAAAACACACATACACATGCCTCTTAATAATAAACAAAATTTAATTTTAAGAGAGGGTGACCTGGCAAGATGACTCAGGGGATAAGGTAACTTGTCACCAAGCCTGACAAGCTAAGCGTGATCTCTGGGACCCACAGAGTAGAAGACAAGAACTTCTTTCCTCTGACCTTCACACAAGTGCTGAGGTAATTGAACATGTATGCACATACGTACACGCATACATGCACGCTTGCACGCACACACACACATAAATAAATAAATAAATAAATGTAGTAAAAATGATTCATCCTCCTGTCCCAAGCAGCCACCACTTGCCAATAGCTACCCAGCTAGGGGCATTATTACTTTGTGAGACCCTCCATGATCTATGCCAGAGTTCCTGTCTGGCTTGACTGTGCGCAGGTCTTATGTGTGCAATCACAGTTCATGTGAGCTTCTATGTACAGCAGCCCTGTCTTTTCTGGAAACCCATGCCCATACTGGTAGGGTTAGCTGTGGAAAAGTCCTTGTGCTCTCAGACCATGAGGGAAAGCGGGAAGGTTTGCAGGCTTGTCTTTTTTTTTTCTTTAAAAAAAAAAAAGGATATATAATTTGGTTTTCCACCCACTGGGAATGGAAGGGATTAATAGCCTGGTGGTCTGCTACCTGAACCTAGCTATACCAATCTCCTACAACCAGGATCTGCAATACCTAATATTGTCTTTTCATTATCTGTGTGACCAGAGGCTCCCCCAGGCACCAACAACCAGGACCAGAGGTGGCTGATATCCCGATGACCTCTATGCTATGGGTCTGACTGGGGCCTGTCAGTGAATACAGGTTCTATCTCTAGAACCTCTCTTCTTGGAAGACGTGGCATGCACTTTGAGTTGAGTTTCAGTGGAATTATGCCTCCTTGTGCACAGGGGATTCTATTACCCCCGGAAAGTTTTTCCAAAGTTACACTGCGCTTATCTAAACATGCTTACAGTAGACTGCTCAGGATCTGTAAGTGTGAGCCGGCACGGGCTGTCTTGCTGAACCTGGTTTCCTCCTTGCCTCTCTCAGATGATTGCTAGCCCTGGTAGTCCCAGAGACCCCCGTACTGGCAGCACTAAGTGGAGTAATTGGATTATAAAAAGAACACAAGAAATTGGGATGGTAAAGTTGAGGAGTGTGGGAGGGGCTGGAGGGGAATGGAGAATGGCTCTGATGAAAACAGTATGTGCATGTTTCAAATTTTCAAACAATAAATCTTAAAAGGAAAACAAAATGTTTGAATTATGTTATCTTCAAAATCTCTCCATTCCACAATTCTATTAAATAATCTTTCTGTACAGTTTTCACTTTTAAAAATTATTTATTATTGTACACACGAATGCATGATACATGTTGCTGGGGGCGCATGTGCTATGGCACACGTGTGGAGGTCAAAGAATAACTGTGGGGTCAGTTCAGCTTTGCAGTCCAGCTCAGACATTGTCCATGCTCTAACCCAAAGCAGTTTTCAGCCCTTGCTGGCAACATCCCCTGGGACAAAGACACACCCCTTGGGGAGGATCCCTGCCTTTGGGTTAAAGACAGATGGAAAAGCTCACCGTGAGATTATGCTACCTCTGGAGCCAAGAGAAAAGACAGTTTCTGGATGAGATTCAGATCCTGGAGAAAGATGAGGGGAATGAGGGTGGCCATGGATTTGCTGGCAGCAACAAATGGACAGTGGTTCCATAGACTAATAATAAAAGTTTCATAGAATAATACCCAAGTCAAATTATGGGGACTTTCACTTTGAATGTTGTTTATAGCAGAGACTTCAAGACAAGTCTCTTTCATCATTATGAAACCTTTATTTATAGCCATCTTTATGAACATATCACAAGCAAAATATCCCCTGATTTCCTTCTTCTTTTTCTTCTTCAATCTTTCTCTTTTAAATATTCTACTTAACCTTTTTTATTATCAACTCTATTCCTTGTCTATTTAAACAGAAACATACAGTTTAACATGGTGGCCCACACCTGTAATCCCAGCACTCTGGTGTTGGAGGCAGGATGATTCAAGGTCATTTTAGCTATACAATGAGTTCAAGGCTAGCTTAGGCTACAAGCAAACTTGTCTAAAACCAACAAAAACCTGAAGAGGAAAACAGGTTCAGAATAATATGTGGAAGGGACTGACAAGAAGAAACTGCTTTCCCAAGTCTCCCGCCCTCTTGATCCCACGGGACTCACACAATTGCCCTTTTTCTAGTCCTGATTCTTGAGTTCATCAAAGGGAAGGAAAGACACTGGAGTGGATTCTTCCTGTCTTCCCAACCTCAGACTTTTCCTTGGCCACCATGGACACACACTCCCCTCTTGGCTTGGCTTGCCCCTCCTCCCCGCCCCCATGAATACTCCCATCTCACCCTGGTAGACCTGCATGGCTTCAGGTCACTCTGTGGTCCAAGTCTTGATAGAGCTTTTCCTTCTTGATGCTTTTATTTGTTTTGTTGAGTTTGATTTGGTTCTCTTAAAACTGTCTCGAGTCCTGGTCCTCTTACTTCTGCCACTCAAACGCCAGGATTCCCGGTGTGCACCACCATGTCTAGACCTAATGGGGAGCCTCTACAGGCAGCCTGTGGAGTCAAGGATGGGTCTACAAAGCTACACTAGGAAGAATATTGTTGGGAAGATGTAGGTATCCTGCAGACGGGAGAATAAACACTAACTGCCGAGAAGGGGGGGGGGGTTGTTTAATCCCTTACACATTCCTCCATCAATTTCCCAACTGTCCCAATGTCCTTTTCTGGTCCCTATACTTTGACTTCTGAAGTTTGATTGCTGTAGTTTCAAATTTTTTTGATTCCAGAGGTTATTGAACCAGAATCTTCTGCATGCTAAGTAGGCACTCTATCAGTGAGCTCCAGCTTTAGCTCCCAGAGAACTGTACTTCTCTCATTAAAATTCCTAACTGATCCTTGCGGAGTTCTTCCTGGTTGACTCTCTTACCGGAGTATTTATTTGGCAGCCCATCTCCCAAGGCCCATTTCCCACGAGTTCCAGAACCACCTGTTCCTTGGTACAGATCATATACACAGAGGGAGTTTATGAGCTTCCATGTCCAGGGTGGAGGAACATACCAACAAGAATAAAGCATTCTCATCTGCACTACGTAACGAGACTGCCTCAAAACACAGCATACAGGGCTGGAGGAAGCTCAGTGGTTAGGAGCTCTGGCTGCTCTTCCAGAGGACCGGGGTTCAGTTTTGAGCACTCCATGACTGCTCACAACCATCTGTAACCCCAGTTCCTCTTCTGCCTTCTGCAGGCACCAGATAAACATGTGGTTCATGGTATACATGCAAGCAAAATATCCATACATATGAAATAAATAAATATTAAACAATGTAAAAACAGAATAAGCAAACAAAAAAGAATAAAGTCTTCTTTCAGGGTTAGGGATGTAGCTCAGTTGGCAGAGTACCTGCTTAACATGCAGGATGTCTTGAGTTTGATCTCGGCCACCAATCAGGTGTATATGCCTGTGAACCCAGCGCTTTCAAGATGGAAGCAGGAGGATTAACAGCTCAAGATTATCCTTGACTATATAGGGAGTTAGAAACCAGCTTAGGATACAAGAGGCCCCATCAATCATTATCATTAGACCCCTCAATCAAGGTGGAGTAGCACATGCAATCCTAGCACCCAGGGGACTGACGCAGGACTTTGAGTTTGAGGCCAGCCCAGGCTACACATCCAGTTCAAAGCCAACCGGAGCTACAGTAATAGGAATCTTTCTAATGATAACGATTTTTAAAAGCAAGCAACCAATACAACTTATTAACCCTCTCATAACTTCTGTCCTTTGTCCCTGTCATTGTGTTCTTCTCCCTTCCTCCTCATACACAGCTGATGCTCAGTCACCCAGCAGGTTTGTTTTGGTGCTGAGTAGGGACCAAAGCTATGTGCTGCACACTGGGCAATGTCAGGATGCAGGCAGGCATCTCAGCCCGAGGCTTTGGCAGAGTTCCCAGGCAGAGCCAGCGGTCCAGACCAGGGCAGTAGGCGTGGACAAGGTGGGAGATGGCATAAGTACGGTGGCTGTAGCCCCCCAGTACCAGAAGCTCCCCCTGCAAAACAGCACCTGCAGCCCCCACATGGGAGGAGGGCAGGGGTGCCAGGTGAGTCCAGCTATTGGTCTTCGGTTCATAGACCTCAAAGCTCAGCAGGTCCCCAGTGTCACCTAGTCCACCCGCCGCATACAACCTCCCACCCAGAGCAACCATCACATGACTAGCCCGTGCTACTCGCATTGGGCTCAAAAGTGTCTCAGGCTTCTCAAGTTTGGGGTCATAGATCATCAAGGAGTCCAAGAACTGGCCGGTCCCACTATAGCCGCCGCTTACATACAATCGGCCCTCGAGGATTGCAGCTGCGTGGGCGAAACATGGTACTGGAAGAGCAGGTGCCGGCCTGAGGGAGAGCAGAACGGAAGATCAGGCAACCGCATGTTCAACTTCATTTCATTTTATTGTGAGGTAGATCTTGCTATAGCCTAGGCTCCCACCTTCACCTCTGAAGTGCTGGGATTGCAGGCGTGTGCCACCATGCCCAGCTTCACTCTCCTGTTCCAAATCTAGTTTCTCCGGATGGTTCTTTGCCTGCTTACCTCCAGATGTTGAGTTCAGGGTTATAGGTCTCAACAGAGTTAAGGGCAACACCATTGTCCCGTCCACCCAGGGCATAAAGCTCTCCATCAAACACCACCAGAGGAAAGAAGCTCCGAGCCTGGCACAAGGGTGCCATTTCCTCCCAGTCTTCTTGACTGGAGCTCCACCTGGACACAATGGGAAAGATATGGAAAGAGTGACCTTGGGAGCCTATGGCTTGCCAGATTAACACATTCTCTTGCTTGCCCACATGGGGACCTATTATATACACATTGATGGTACCTGAGAGTTGAAGCCAGAGTGTTGCTATGGCTGTAGAAATCCTGTCCCCCACAGACATAGAGTTCACTTCCTGTTAGGCTTGCAGCTCCATGGCGAAAGCGCCCTGGGGCAGGCAGGTCAGGCAGCCGACACCATTCCACAGTGCGGACCAGACCCATGCCACAGCGGAAAGCCCGGGCCCACCACACTTTGCAAGATGGCTGCCTTCGGTCCATGTTAGGTCTAAGACCATCGCCACCAATCACCACCAGCGCTTGATCAGGCTTCCTCCACCTCTCTTGGCCTGGGACTTCGGCTTCCACCATCAGCTGGTTCAGCAGATCGGGGGACAGAGGGGGAGGGAGCCCAGCTGCCCGCACCTTTCTCAGCTCTCGGGTAGACATGCGACCGAAGCGGACACATCGCAGCAGGTCCTTGGCCTCGGACTCCTGGGTCTCGGGGTTGGCAGCCAGCCAACGCCGTGCAGCCATGAAAGCCTCAAACTCTTCTTGTACGTGGAGCTCATCACTATCCAAGAGCTCAGCCAGGCAGGTAGCCGGTAACGACGGGAAAGTAGGGCACAAAGACACAGCAGGCAAATGAGTGAGGAGGTAACGATGGGCTTTTCCCCAGACTTTCTCCAAACCAGGAGCTTCAACCATAGGAAACAAAGCCAGGCAAAGGGCAGGGCAGAGGCTTTGAGCCAAGGCTCTCTGACACAAATCCAGGCAGGAGGAGCTTTGGTACTGCAGCGCAGCCTGGGCGACTCTTAGCAATCCTGGCCATTTTTCTCGTACAACTCCAGAGTAGGCAAACGAAACGAGGAGTCTCAGGTCTTGCGAAGAGATGGTACGCAGAGACACTTTTGTGCCCTGGGACTCCCTCATCCCACTCAGAAGCATGGCCCCAAAGAACTCACTGCCACAGGCCAGGGCTACTCGGTGCACTGCAATAGGGAGGAAGCAAAGGAAAGCCAGTGTTGCAAGGCTGCTACCTCCGATTCTAACTGTAAGCTATTCCAATGCCGTAAGTGGGAGGAACACGGACTGCTTGCAGCTTTCACTCCGGGAGTGTAGTTCAGTGCTGCAGCACACGCCTAGCAAACGCAAAGCCTGGGTTCCATCCCCCTCGCTGCCCATCCCTGGATTATGATTCCATAGGTCTCAATAGTAACTTGGAGAATCTTTGCTTTAATATCTTTCTCTTGCTTTCTGGAAACAGGGCCTCGTTATGTAGTCTTGGCTGGTCTGGAACTTACTTAATACTGTTCCCAGACTTACCGTGGAGACCTGACATGCGCCGCTGTTCCCAGACTAACCGTGGAGACCTGACATGCGCTGCTGTTCCCAGACTATTTTAAAATTCTCAAGTGTCCTATATTATGCTCATGTTAGTGTCTGGAAGACATTTTAGTGTTTCAGGTTCATGTCAGTTAGAAAAACAGTCTGTTCTTTTTCGATTTTTCTGTGCAGCTCTGACTGTTCTGGATCTCTGTAGACCAGGCTGGCTTCAAACTCACAGAGATCCACCTGCCTCTGCCTCCCAAGTGCTGAGATTAAAGGCGTGTGCCACTACCACCCAGCTAGAAAACCAGTCTTGAATGCAGATGAGAAAATCCTATACTCGCGGTTTGCTAATAGGGAACACAAAACAAACTGAATAGGGCAATGGACAACTTATTAAGGCTTCCGTGCACTGTGAATAAAATCAAGAGGTGCTTTTCATTTATAGCTGCGAGAGACCCCACCAAAACAACTATATCCAGGCCAGGCGTGGTGACATACTTACTTCCCTTGCAGAGGACCCAAGCTTGGTTTCTAGCACCCACCTGGCAACTCACAACAACCTATAAGTCCAGTTCTAGGGGACTGGGCACCTTCTTCTGGCCTCTGTAGGCACCAGGCACACACGTGGTACATGGCATACATGCAGGCAGTCACATACACATAAAATAAAACCAATGTGCCTTTAAGAAAAGAAAGAAACAACAGAGGGCAGGCAAGGTGGCTCAGTGCGTAAAGGGACTTGTCATCGAGACCGATCAGGAATTGGGAGCCACATGGAAGCAGAGAGCCACTTCCTGCAAGCTGCACTCTGACTCCACGAACGCTGTAGGTCCTGCTACTCACATACACACAAACTCTCACACACATGAACTGCTACTCACATACACATGTACTCTCACACACGCATAATTATATGCAATGTTTTTTTAAGTAGAGAAGAGTTTTTGTTTTAATAGAATTGGGCTTTGTGCTGAAGGCTTTGTAGCCCCAGTTACATGAAGACAAGATGATCATGAGTTCAAAGCCTGCCTGGGCTGAAGAATGCTTTCAAGACTACCTGGGCAACTTGGTGAGACTCTATCCAAAGAAAAAACAAAACAGAAAGTAAAAGCTCAAATGTCCTTTTCAAAGATTTGTTTTAATTGTTTCAATATGCCCATGAGTGTGTCTCTATGTGTGGGTGGGTGCATGGGAGAATGGGTTCTTATGGAGGCCAGAGAGCTGTGACCCGCCCGATGAGAATGCTGGGAACTGTACTTGGGTCCTCTCGAGGACATCTCCGTAGCCTCTTCTCTGTTTCCTTTAAAACACGTGTCCCCCAGTAAAAGGCCAAGCAGAAATGAGGAGATGAGCTAGACATAGTAGCTTATTGATTGTTAAGACAGTGGGATGAACGTTTGAGTGTTAATTTTTGCTTTGCGTTTGAAGTGTTTTGTGATAGAAAGAGGACCACTCTGCTAGAAACTGTCCCAGGAAGTCTTAGTCGGGTGTCTGTGTTCTCCACGAGTGAATCTTTTGAATTCCACACTGTTTTTAGACCAGCTGTGGAATCGTACCTCTCACAGGGCAACTGAGGATAATGATATTTCTATTGTCTTTTTAAGTAGAAGGTAGTGGCCTGGTGTGTCCCCAAGAACAAGCACTAGTTACAGCTTCCTAGTCTATGTTGTTGGAGAAAATCTACATTCTGGGAAATGAGCTAAACCAGCTCATCTTACAGACCAACCAACATCTGTATCTGAGACTCAGTTGTGAGAAGCTCACAGCTACTTGGAATCTCCCTCTTACTCATTGCTGTACCCTAAGATTTAAAGTGATGAGTTTCCAGGTAGCATTATGAATATGTGGGAACCCCAAACCTTCATGAAAATGTTATAATTATGAAACTGTAAAGTATCATCCGCTAGCTGTTGCCGTGAGGCAGAAAGCCAAGGATAGCTCTCCTGGAGTACCTCCACTAAGCACTCAGTGGTGTGACTGAGCGCTGCTGAAGCCAGCATGGTCTGGCCTTGAACTCCCGACAACCCTCCCTTTGTAGCCGGCTAAGTGCTACAGGTGTGTGTCACAAGGCCCTACTAGATTTGTTTTTTCTTTCCTTTTTTATTTTGGTTTGTGAGATAGGTACTCACAATTTATTTTTTTTAATTAATTAATTTTGAGACAGGATTTCTCTGTGTATCCCTGGCTGTCCTAGAGCTCACTCTGTAAACCAGGCTGACCTCAAACTCAGCAATCCACCTGCCTCTTCCTCCCGAGTGCTGGGATCAAAAGTGTGGGCTACCATTACTCAGAAACAGTAGAAAAATTATAGTTATGAAGTAACAACAAAAATAATTTCATGGTTGGGGGTAGACACAACACGAGAAACTGTACTAAACGGTCGTGGCATTAAGAAGATTGAGATCCACTGTGTTAGAGGAAGCAGACTGGAGTCTGTTGCCAGAGTCAAGCACACCTAGGAGAAAGGACATTGGGAGACTTCTACCGACTGTCTCTTGTTTGCTGCGTGCTTAGAAGGGCCTCTGGCTAACCTGGGCCAGTCAGTCACTTTCTGCTTGTTTTACTGCCATGGACTGTACTATAAGCCCCAGCCAGCTGGCTGGAAATCTAGCTACTGGGCAAGCGGGGAAAGCGCCTGAACTATCAGTTCAAATTTGTCCGTGCATCTAGGAAAACAATTCAACTGCGCATGCGCCTCTCTTGGTGGTGCTGGAAAAACACCAAAAAGGACATACTTGCTGGAGCAATGATCCAAAACTCTGACACCGGGCAGGGGGTGTGGCCCAGTGGTAGAGTGGAAGTGAGGACTTAGGTTCCATCCCTAGCACCGCAAAATAAACAAAACCCTGAGACATGCATTTTCAGCAGGTGCTCCCAGGCCCTCACCCCGCAGGCAGTAGCCCTCTGCTTCCAACTCCAAGTCGCACCCGACGCCCTCTTGATATAGACGCTCAATGCTGTGCAGGTTCTCCCTCAGCTCCTCTTCCTGGCTGAGCTTCTCTTCATCTTCGCTGGCCTTGCCATGCCCTTCTGACCTCAGCTGGGCCGCGCTCTTCACCCGGGGCGCTCCCAGCGCCTCTGCAGCAGCCAGCACTTCGCCCTGCGAGGCGGGGCCCAGCACCCCCTCATACGCAAAGGTCATTGCAGCCTCCCAGCCCCTCCGGGTCACGTCGAGGCTGAAGTGAGGCTGCTGACCTCCACCGCCCCGAAGCCTGCCTTGGAAGAGGCTGCTGATTGCAGCCAAGATCACTCGATGCACCCCGTATACCTGTCCCCCTACTGACACCTCCTCATCCAGCAGCAACTTCTGCTCCCGCAGCCTCTGTGCTTCAGCGAAGAACTGACCGGGGTGCTCCATGCTGCACAGCATCTCAGGTTCTGCTGAGTCGTCGCAGTCATCCTGTTCCTTCCCGTTCTCCAGGGATGAAGCTGGAAAGTGAAGGTTTCCTGAAACCAAGGGGCTGGGGTCAGGCTCTGCTAGAGAAAAGGAAAGCAAGCCAGGGTCCTCGTCGGGAGAGGGAGACCAGGAGGAGGCTCTTCGGCAGGTAAAGGGAGTTCAAGACCGTCCTTCCAAACAGAAAAGGAGATATGCTCCAAGTCTGAGGAAAAAAGCTCACGGCTCAGACTTGTGAGATTGCTGCAGGTGAAGGCACGAGAGAAGGATGCCTGAGCTGCGTCCAGAAAAGCAGAGCTGTCTGCAGTTCACAGAGCGATCAGCCCCTCACTCCACCCCAAGGGGACACGCTAACTTGGGAATAGTAACTATAGGGTTCTCCAAGTGCAACAAAACCGCAAACACCTGTAGCCATCAGGCCAGGGTCAAGCCCGCCTTTCTGCTTGCTTTAGTCCCAGGCAGGAGACGCCAGGCTTCCGCTTGCCCTCACTTGAGTCGCCACTCTGCTTAGGACTGCTGTGTGCCGATCCCAGCAGCGGCCCCACTTGGCTAATTATAGCTAGCCCAAGGACTAGGGCTGGAAGCTGACACCCAATGCACTGAGCCAAGTCCTGGGATGACTTCCCCCTTCCCTTCCACCTGTAGGTCATATGAGGGTGCTGAATGGGGAAATTGCAAGGCAGAGAGAATGCAGACTTGGGTGGAGACAGGCCAGAACTGTTTTCACGACTGGTGACAGGGAACTAGCGAAGGGGTCTGAAGTCTATCCTATACAACACTTGAAGTTTGGCTTACCTTCCTTCTCAATAGCTGTGAGATTTGGAAAAGAAATTTCTTAACCTCTGCCCGACTTTGTCCTGGTTGGTGATTATAATCGCTGTACGTCCATAAACCCCAGAGGGTTAAGCAAAAACCTCCACAGCAGCCTAACACTTTACATATCAGTAAAACCAAACTGAAGGTGCAAATCAAAGTTGTATATTTTTAAAAACTGGTTTTAGGGCTGGACAGTGATGGCACATGCCTTTAATCCCAGCACTCAGGAGGCAGAGGCAGGTGGATCTCTGTGAGTTTGAGGCCACCCTGGTCTACAAGAGCTAGTTCCAGGACAGCTAGGGCTGTTACACAGAGAAACCCTGTCTCAAGAAAACCAAAAACAAAACAAAAAACCTGGTTTTAGTAGATGATGTCTTCCCTTTAGCCTCTGCTTACCTGTAGTCCTAATCCTCCCACGGAAGGGCCCTGAGTGGGGGAATTACAGGCATGCACCACCAGCACAGGCAGAAAGCTGAATTCTAATGGCTCTTGTCCTTCCCTACCCCCTGGGCCATGACCTCTAAACCAGAGGGGAACAGAGAAGCGAGGCTGTAGGTCCAGCTGGACCAGGGATTCTCAAGGATGCGTCTGCAAGCTGTCCACTGATGAGAGCTCCAGCTGGGCTTCTCCCCTCCCCCCACCCCATGTCACACATCCCAGCACTCAGAGCTACCTCGTGGGTACCAAGTGATGTTTTCCACATACCCCACCTTGTGACTGAAGTCTACCTCAGAAAGGACAGGATCAGTAACCACGTAGGACCTACAGCCTGGGTTACAGGAGCCGGTTGCCTGTCAACTTTCCCATGACTGTCCTCAAATGACCACAACCCAGCTAGATCTCTGGTCTGAACTCTTTGAGCTTTCTCCAGGTGTGTTTAAATCACTTAGGTAGGGTTAGAAAAGTAATCAAGAAGCCCAGATTTTCTACATGACTTTCCAAATAGCTTTCCCTAAACCCGAATGGTTCCTGAAAATTTAAGACTTTAAAATAAACAATTTTATATAGTCATTTCAAAGGATTTTAAAGTTTGGGTTATTTCATTGATTCTGAATGTACTATTTTAATAATTTAACAATAATAACTAAGAATTTCTACTACTACTTCAAACTTACAAGAAATATAGGCAGAAGAAGCTTAAAGAACTTGCCAAGTGTTCTGTATGTTCTAAAAAATATTCTGTAACTGCCATGCTTTCATGAATGAGTTTATTAAATACACAGCAGTTAAAAGTAAAAGAATAAATAGCAAACAGTTGTAGTGGCTTTTTCATTTGGGCCACCAGCTCCCAAAAAATGACAGATTTTTTATTAATTATGAAAGCTCAGCCCATAGCTTAGGCTTGCCCCACTACCTTCTACAGTAATTTACCCATTTCTACTCATCTTCGTGTTACCACATGGTTTTTCCCCTCCTGGATGTCTTGCTCCCTCTGCATCTGACTGGCAACTTCCCCTTTCCTTTTCCCATTGCTCTCTCTGTCCAGAAGTCCCACCTATACCTCCTGCTTAGCTATTGGCCATTTAGCTTTTTATTCAACCAATCACAGTGATGCATCTTTACACAGTATAATCAAATATCTCAAAACAAGTAGATAGACTCATTAGACAATAAAGCACTATCAAATTGGGCACCTATAATCAATCACCCGGCAGAGATTGACTAGAGATGTCTCATTGTGGGAACCAGCTGGGGTTCAAGCAGAGTGAGCGTCATGGGTGCAGCAGAGTGTTCTCTTGGATAAGACTGCCAAGTAAAACACAAACAGCAAATAACAGACAGAGAACATCATCAAATAAGTCCTACCGGAGAAACTGAGGCAATCAGCCAGAGTTCTTGATTGATAGCACTCTTTCCACAGATGAGCTAGCTTTCTATGCTGAGGCACTGGCTCCCCACTTCCATTGGCAGCACTTTGATATTAAGGGATAAACAATCATCACTCTTGTTGGAATGGCTTACCTTAGCTGTTCTCAAGATCACAAGGCTCCTTACTATTCTGAGATACTTGTTCCTTCTTCCTGTCAGAGACAAGAGAGGTCAGTTCATGTCTAGGTATGAGCTGGGTCTTAGAGGACACTTGGAGACAAACAGAATTAGGTTTGAAAAGGGGTGGGGTCCAACCCTGTTTCCAGACCCAGCTTCTCAATGATATCAAACAGTGTGGTGGTCTAAATGAGAATGGCCCCCATAGGCTCATGTGTTTGAATGCTTGATCCCAAGTTAGTGGAACTGATTGAGAAGGATTAGAAGGTGTGGCCTTGTTGGAGAAGGTTGTCACTGGGGGTGGGTTTTGAGGTTTCAAAAGCTCTTTCCCTGCCTTGTAACTGTTGTCTCAACATCTGAGTTCTCAGCTACTGCCCCAGGGCCATGCCTTCCTGCTCTCATCCTCCACACATTATGGCCATGGCTTCTAATGACACTCTGAAATTACAACCAAGCTCCCAATGATAATGCTTTCTTTTATAAGTTGACTTGGTCATGGTGTCTCTTCACAGCAACAAAAAAGCAAGACAAACAGTCTGTGAGTTTTCCAACACAGTATGCATTAGCTCAAGGGTCCCAAGAGGCACGACAGCAGATCAAACGCAGGCCAGCAGGACAGGACCCGTTAGGGTCTAGACGCATTGCTTCTCCGGTCCTTCAGTGTATTAATGTGATTTCCTGGTGTGACGGGACTCATCAAGAAAATAATCCCCGCTCTATATGCACACGAGACAGTGAGCTGAATGTGACCCATGCCTTTGGGTCTTTCAATTCCTCCTTTATATGCTCTTGCCTTTGAGAAGGACCCAGGCCTTACCGCAACGAGGAAAAGATTTTCCCAAACCATCACAGTGATTAGACTCACAGATTGCATGCTAAACACTGCCAAGAGTCCAGTGTGAGAAGTCTCTGGGATGTGCTTGATATTAAAATTACAGTACAAGTTTATTTTGAACTGGCTGGTACACAGTAAATGAAGCAAGCAGAATACAGCTGATTTCCAGAGAAACAGAGAACTTGAAAATTACAAGTCACTCATGTGTCCCTTTCCTTTAATGGCATTCTCTGCTGAAGTCTGAGTATTCGGTGCTGGCCTGCCATTTTAGTACCCCATCCTTAGAGGACACACTCCAGAAAGCAGAGCCAGACCGGGCCCTAGACATTCAGCACAGGGGCCACGGGCGGCCCCACCCGCTTTGCTGTTGTTACAATGTTGCTTATCCCAGTTCAGAGCAGTGGGGAAGAACACCAGGCCAAGCTCACTACTTGCTATCACCTGACTTTAATATGTTGTAATAGTGTTAATTGTTAACCTGATCGAATCTACGCCACCTAGGTGATAAATAAGCCTTTGGGCACCCTCCTGAGGGATATTTAGGTTGAGGTGAACCTCTGACAATGGCTGTGAAGGATTATCTTTGTTATGTGAACTAGTGTAGGAAATCCCATCTTTTTTGTTTGTTTGGTTGGTTGGTTTTTCGAGACAGGGTTTCTGAAGCTTTGGAACCTGTCCAGAAACTAGATCTGTAGACCAGGCTGGGGGAAAACCCACCTTAACGTGGGTAGGACCATTCCCTGGATGCTGGAAGTAGCAGTCATCCTTGCCTGCTTCCTCTTCCTGACTGTGGATGTCATGTGACCAGCCACGGCAAACTCCTGCTGCCTTGACTGCCCTGCCATGGTGGACTGTTCCCCTTGAACAGTGAGACAAAATAAACCCTTTCTCTTGAATTGCTTTTTGTTGGGGTGTTTTCTCACAGCCCAGGAGAATGACCTGAGACACAGGACTCAACACCACTTTACCTCAGTGTGCTACTCTTTCCGGGTGTTTGGTGTCACAATAAGCGTTGGCGTGAGCAATCACTATGTGCTAGCGATCACGCTAAACATTGTATAGCTCTTATCCTTTCGATTCCCAGCAGCCCTCTGGGAGAGGTTCTGCTCTGATGTGCATTCTACTGGTGAGGAGCTCCACAAAGTTCCTTCGTTCACACGACTACAGAGCCAAAGAGTGAGGGTCCAAATCCAGGTCTGTTTGCATCAATTGCGTGCACCTTTAACTGCCAGCGTATGCTTTTTGGTACAGAGTAATGAATGATTTATTGTGACAGATGAAGAAAAATTGTCAAAGGATTCTATTAGTTTGAATGATGTAGACGGGCTGTTTTAGTAAGTCAAAGCAGTAAATATTGTCAATTTCATAGTCTTATCAAATAACTCACAACTAAGAAATAGATGGATTGTCTCTTTTTAACTTGGTCTCTCAACACAATTATAAATTGATGCTAATTTTTCACATCATCCTGAAAACAAAGGCATCCCTTAATAACAGCAGGAAGCACGGCCACCTTCTTCACACAGGCTTCACAGAAGAGGTTCACGTGATGGTGGGATGAACACGGCCCACGGGCGCTGTTTGGATGCTTAGTCACCAGAGCGTGCAACTGTTTGGGGGGCCTAGTGGGTGTGGCCTTATGGGAAGTGTGTCACTGGTTTGGGTTTGGGTTTTGTTTTTTACTTATTTATTTATTATGTATACAGTGTTCTGCCTGCATGCACACCTGCAGGCCAGAAGAGGGCACCAGAGCTCATAGATGTTTCGGAGCCACCATGTGGTTGCTGGGAATTGAATTCAGATCTTCTGGAAGAGCAGCCAGTGCTCTTAACCTCTCTCTGAGCCATCTCTCCAGCTCCCATGGGTTTGGGGTTTCAAAAGC